TATATTAAACGTAATTAAGTTTAAGTACTAATTTGTTATCATTCACCCTGTAAATGTAATATATGGTCCCCCGTGCATTGTTTGTATGGTTAAACAAATTCGAGTTTAACCAATGATGCTTCAGATTCGTTCACAAAGGTTCAAACGAGTCATTGCGTCGTCAAAGGGGCGCGTGATTTGGCTCTTGTGTGTTAGTCTTTGCTCTATCGTGTTCTTGGCAGGAATTTTTAAGGGTTTTAGTTTCAAAGTGACTCGCTCAACCCCTTAGTCTGTAGCCGAATGTGCACTTGGTTTCTTGGGGTTCAACGTCTTGGGTACCTTTATTGCCCTTCCGTTTGTGACCTCGTGTTTAAATTACCCGCTTTTGTCTGCTTTACTATTAGCCAATGGGCTTTAGGTCATATTACTCAATGGCGTGGCTGCAGGCGGCTTAGTTACTTTTTGAAGCTTGAATCGGCTTCATTGTAAGCCGCGGTTTTGGTCCATGCAGCTTTAATCTCAAGGCGATTTTTGTTATATTATCTGTTTTTACGTAACCTCAGTTAAGTTGTCAGTGCGTGTTTGCAATTAGCTGCTTTCTATTAGCTTGTGCCTCATGGAATAGTGTCGAGGCTTACTTTTACAACTTTTCTCAGTCATTGGGTGTTTGTTTACTTTTGTGCATTGCTTGTCTTTTGTCATCTAAACCACTTTGGTTTTTTTAGCTCTAGGAGTTGACTGGGTTTTGGTGAGAATGGTTCACAAACGGCGTCCCTCGAAGGGATCCCAGACTATTTCCCAGCCACAAACTCAGATCCTTCCCATGGATTGTGATGAGAACGTCCTACAATCTGTTACCCACAACATTGATGCAATTCACCAAGACTTATCCCTCCTTGATTTGGAAAGCTTCCTCCTTCCATCCACTCATCTCCCGGTTCTTGATGTTGATGCAGCTCAACTCAAAAATGTTCAGCAGTCTCACCTTCTACCTCTCTTCAACAATGTAAGAACAGCTTCACGATCGTCGAAATTGTATCTGCCCCGTTCGATCGCCCCACAATCAACTATCCCATCTGTCCAACACTATGTTCTGATACCCAACGCGGCTCTTAATCGGAGCAACCATTTAGCACCTTGTAGTAGCGTCCTGAACATCCCTGAAAGGTCGGACGGCAGGTATACAATCGCGATGGAAGCTAAACGCGAAGCCACCGTAATCAAAAAGGTCAATAAACTTATTAAGCGTGGTTTGTGGTCGAGTAACCGGTTGCCAAAGGTAATGGAACCTCCACAACCACTCTGCCATTGGGATCATCTTCTGGAGGAGGCTTGTTGGCTGGCTGAAGATTTCAAGCAGGAGAGACTATGGAAGAAGGCTATCGCAAAGAAGGTGAGGTTCCGCCAAAAAACACGATATGTATTTAATTCCCCTTTAATTCCAGCTCGCCGACGCAGCCATGATGTTCTGCATGATCAGCTCAGAATTAGCTCGACGGAACGAAGAGGAGCTGGAAGGTTTGCGTCAGCGCGGTGCCGCAATGGTCGCCAAAATGGTACAAGACTGGTGGGCGGAGGTTTCAGAGACCGCGAGCTCTCTTTCAGCCCTGTCTGAACATCGCCAGTGGTGTGCAGCATTGCAACGCAACCGCGTTTTTCTCACCCACCTAACTGATACTGGTGCTAATTGGATGTTTGAAGCTGTGTCTCGGTCATCGCGTTCGATGGCACCACCTCCCTTTTCGGCATCAAAACAAACACTCCCGCTGGCTCCTACTATGGTTCTGGAGGAGGAGGATGTGGATGAATTGTGGCTACCTCCAAAGAGTAGTACTAGTAGTACCGCTAATGGAAGTGTGGAGAGTCTAACAGATGCGGGAGTGCAGTTCAATCCCGATGCTTTCTCGTGGGGTCTCCAATCACACATGATAACGGCAGCGCCTATGTCACTGGACTCCTCACCCAGTGAAGGTGATAGTGAAGACCACGTTTCTACGTCCAGTGACTCTTCTGGGGCTTCCACGCTGGCTACGGATCAAGAGGATGTAC